AATTTTGTCTAAATGCCGGCGAATTTAGAGCCGTTGGATCTAGGAATCCAGATACCATACCATTTCCGTTGCCCAATCTCACTCGAGCTTATGCGTGATCCAGTCACCGTCTGCACCGGTCAAACCTACGACCGAACCAGCATCGAGTCTTGGGTCTCAATCGGAAACACAACTTGTCCAGTCACACGCGCTCCTTTATCCGACTTCACACTCATCCCCAACCACACTCTCCGTCGCTTAATCCAAGAATGGTGCGTCGCTAATCGCTCTAATGGCGTCGAGCGAATCCCAACTCCTAAACAACCAGCTGATCCAACCTCCGTTCGAGCTCTCTTAAGCCAAGCTTCCGCTACTTCCGGAGCTCACGTCTCTGTTCGTTCACGCGCCGCCGCTCTCCGCCGTCTCCGTGGATTCGCACGCGATTCCGAGAAAAATCGGGTTTTGATCGCCGCTCATAACGCCGGTGAGATTTTGGTTAGGATTCTGTTCAATTCCGACGAAGGAAACTCTCCGTCGTCGGAATTAGTATCCGAGTCACTCGCTCTCCTCGTTATGTTCCCGATTTCGGATCCGGAATCGATCGCGACGGATCCGAACCGGGTCGAGTTTTTGACTCGGTTGCTATTCGACCCGTCGTCGATGGAAACGCGCGTTAACGCAGCCGCGTTGATCGAGATGGTTTTAACCGGAACGAAATCGTCCGATCTGAAAGAAACGATTTCGAATTCGGAATCTGTATTCGAAGGAGTCATCGATCTTCTTAGAAATCCGATCTCGTCGTCTCCACTACGAGCTCTTAAAATCGGAATCAAAACGCTATTCGCGCTCTGTTTATCGAAAAACACACGTCACATCGCCGTCTCTTCCGGTGCACCGGAGATTCTAATCGACAGACTTGCTTCCGATTTCGACAGATGCGATACGGAGAGAGCGTTAGCGACGGTGGAGCTTCTCTGCAGATCGCCGGAAGGATGCGCGGCGTTTGGCGAGCACGCTTTGACGGTGCCGCTTTTGGTGAAAACGATTCTGAGGGTTTCGGATCGCGCGACGGAGTACGCGGCGGGGGCGTTGTTAGCGATTTGTACGGCGGAGGAACGGTGGAGAGAAGAGGCTGCGACGGCGGGAGTGGTGGTTCAGTTGTTGTTGATGGTGCAGAGTGAGTGTACGGAGAGAGCGAAGAAGAAAGCACAGAAACTGTTGAAGCTTCTCAGAGATTCATGGCCTGATTACTCCTTCGCTAACTCCGATGATTTCGGTTGCAGCGAAGTGGTCCCATTTTGATTTTTTTTTTTTTTTAAATTGTATTATTGTTCACAGTAATTAGTCTTTTTATATGTTTTTTTTTTCAAATTAGAAGGAAAAGAAAGAAAATTTCATGGTCATTTTTTGTGTATTTGATGGAAATATGTGAATTAAGAATTTGATGACAAGAAATTAGGTTTTTGGTATATATTGAATTATTTTTTTTTTTGGTTGGGTATGGAACTAATTTTCTTTGCTTATTGATTGGCCTTTTGAGTTGGGAAAAGTTGTTAAAAAAAGGAAAAGCAAATGGAAGATATGCTAAAGCTTTTAAAGTCCTATAAAGTCATTCTTTTTTTTAGTCTAAAGGTAAGTCAACTTTTTTTTTGCATTACAACATAAAAAATAGATAAGAATTTGTTATTATATTGACAATTTTGTATGGACCTATTTGAGTGCTATAAGTTTCTAACGAAATGTCATCATAGTACTTTATTACTTTATGTAGAGCTCTTGTTCATTTATCTTCTTTACATAGTGTTTATAGCATTTGTTAACATTTCAATAACACTCTATTTCATGGACCCAAAAACACTTTATTGTTAGACATGATTGATTCGGCTACATGGTCAAACTCACAAAGATTCAATGCAGTTTTGGACTTTATAATG